TTCACCAATCATTCGCTTACAATATAAAACAATAGCCAAGCTATAAAACTATAGCGAAACACCTTTCTGACGCTATTTACTTACAATAAGTATTAAATTCTGAAAGAATGCAATTACTTCCCCATTTTAACCTACTTACACGATATATCCAACGCTCATTACAATAGTACATATAGATCTAACCTAAATATCTAAAACGCGCTTTTGAATTATGCGCCAATAGTTATGAAAATGCGTCACCAGTTCTGACAACCAATGGTGCCGAGAGTTTGCACCGAGAATCAACGACGCAGGCGCGGTTGCTCCTATTGGCTAAGACTTGTTGACGTAATACGCTCACACCCAATGGAGATCTTTCAACGCGCTGATTGGCTATACAGTGCCATCAGCGCCCACTCATGCAGAGAACAGACACTAAAAGCCTTTAGTCTTCTCCTACTATCGATACAGAGCGCGTAGTGCCGGACAATCTGTACGTTAACCTATAAACCCAACGTAAGACGCAATTAAATTCAGACTCCTAAAATAGATATATTATCCATGCGAGACACCAGCGAAGGGTTCTAAAATATATGTGTGTGCCGAATAAGTATCGTTCTAATGCGAAAGCTAGCTAGTGTATTATTTGGATATCATCAGAATTTGTAGAAAACATGAGGTGTCACAAGGGTGCATAACTAAGCTAAACCTAGAAGCAAGTATCAGACATATCGTAAACAATCGATGCATCCGCGAATAGTCAAGATGCTATAACAGTCACAACAAGATCAGAATTATATAGGAGTTATATCGAGTCTATAAATACTAAATAAAGTGGTCATAACATGGTTATGTTAATAGCTGGAAGCCACCTCTTACAAATGCGCATGCTCTAATGTATAAGCCATCTCACAACCAATAATAGACACGATAACCACCCATTTGCTCAGATGCGCCAATGATAGTTACAGTGTAAGATGCGCATGCGTTGTGACGCTCTATTGGCTAGGCCAAATGACGCAACCAGATACTAACCAATAGCTATTAACTTTGCCTCTAATTGGCTTCTAACTGTTCAAGGTCTCATAATGCGCATGGCATATGTAAGTGTTTCTGTTCGATATCCGACATAACCTAAATTATACTGTCAGATTATATAACCTCAATAATTCTTGCAGTCCACATAATCAGTACGGCTCATGGTGCAACCAAAACTAATTATGAGATACTACAATGGTATAATATCAGCCGGAATCGTGGTAATCATTTATTCTATTAATTTCTTAGACTCAACACGAAATAGACTTCTACATTTCTAAAAAAAAAAAAAAAAAAAAAAACTTGAATCCTATGACAAACAACACTACAATGACTCTTTATCTTAACTAAACTTTGAATATTTTATGTTAACTAATCAAAACAATGACCCTAACCTAATGTGTGCCTGCTATGTTTGATTGAGAAAGTGACTGAAGCGCGTCAATCCTACAATCCAAAGTCTTCAAACTAATAACACTCTACTATAAATATATAACATACTGAGAGTATATCCGGTCAAACTCAAACGACCAACCTTGAATAGAACGAATGATATAATAACATACCTATCTATAATCTACACCAGTGTACATTAAATTATTACTACCATTACTATTACTATTCTCTACATTGATTAAACTTTAGTGAAAAAAAAAATCAATGGAAACGAGACGTTTGTATCTTCTACCTACTTATACATTAACTTCTATAATTTATACATAAACGCAATTTGTTAATGAATGAAGACGGAATATCTTAATTCTACATCCCTTTATTGAATAACTCCATGATTTAAGCACAATATATTATGACAAATAAGACTTTCTTGTAATATAAGAATACTTAAATGCTAGAAAACTCACGCTATATACCTTGAATCCCTCTTACCCCATCCTACATATTCCTTTCTCCTGTTACTTACCTTCCATAGCTGCCATACCTGCTTACTCCAGACTATCAACGCTCTTCAATCTGTCATTACCTTAATATTTTACATACCTACCTGTATACTTACCTTTACACTCACCTGTCACTACAATCCACATCCCACTGCATTCCATTTTATGTTACTTACCTTCCACAACCTACATACTTACCTCTCTCAAATTGTTAATGATTTTATAATGTAACGTCATGTTTCAAATACTTACCTATGTTCCCACCCCATCACCTACCTGTTACCTACCACACTTACCTTCTCCCACTCCTTCTCCACTGTATGAATGAGAAACGAATGAATGATTGTATGTGGCTGGCGGCCGTGTCCGTGGTGTTGGGAGTGCCTAAGATGTGTACCAGCCGTTTCACTGGTGCACACCGAAGGCTGATGTGTGGCAACACTGCCGAGACACTACGGGCACGGTGTCGTCTGGAAGTACCCCCTTCGGGCCCTGGCCAGGGAGTGAACACCGAACTGGGGTGTCGGAGCCCCAGTCGCCCCGAACGAGCTCTCTATCGTCAAAACTGGATAGAGTGAAGAGTCAGTGCAGAATCAGTGGAGTTCCACTGAATGGTAGAGGTTACTCCCATGGGTGCACCCTTCTGCACGCTGCCCGTTCATAGGCGGTACCTATAAAACAAAGAATGTCTCAAAACAAGAAACAAACTAGAAACAGCTTAAGATCTACGCTAAACAAAATCTACGCTAATAAANTGCACCCTTCTGCACGCTGCCCGTTCATAGGCGGTACCTATAAAACAAAGAATGTCTCAAAACAAGAAACAAACTAGAAACAGCTTAAGATCTACGCTAAACAAAATCTACGCTAATAAAAGAACCTTAGATAATCCAAGTTTATCTCCCTTTATTACTAAAACTCCAAGTGATAGTACGGTAGTAGACGCAGATATTATTATAGACGACGTCCCTCACGCTACCCGTACACCTATGAGCAAAAATGATATTAGTCTACCTGATGACCAACACGGTTACAACGTATCTCATACTCCCTCTCACTCTCTTAAACGCACACCTCCTACGGCTCAGCAGGACATCCCCAACCCAAATCCTCTTCCTCAAACTCCTCCCCAATACCCTGCTACTCTAGAATATTTAAAACGTAAACGCCAATCCAACAAAGACAACAAAGACAATTCCATAGTAATGAATACATCTAATACCTCAAATGATAGTAAGAGAGGAAAAAGAAAAGCGCATAAAAGATCCAACGATGAATCGGATAGCTCCACTGATTTCTCTCAAAATGACGAGGACTACAACCCAGGATCTGATCTAAACGATGGAAAATCACTTTCAAAAATTATAATGTCTTTGGTGGAGTATGCAAACGAAATCAATTACGTTAGACGTAACTCTACAAACCTGAATGGGGTCTTCAATAGTAGACTCAAAACAGTGGAGAATGCTCTGCTGACCACATCACACGAGCTGGAACCCATATTCGCAGAACCTGAAAACAATAAGAAACTAATCGAAGAAAACCTAAACCTAATTAAAATCAATAGAAAACTTACAGAAAAAGTTAAACAACTCGAAACGCGCATAGAAAAACTCGAATCTACACCAAATAACCTACCTGTAACATCACTTGAACAAAATAAGAATCCCCTTTCATCCTCCAATAAGCTATTCCTAGAATCTCTTCTGCAGTCAATTAATGAGAATATTGACAGCAAGATAAAGGACCTCAAAACAGAAATATTTGCACACGTTAACAATAATACTACAAACCCAATTCCATCGCTGGCAAACCATCAAAATACTATAACACCTATAAGCTCCTCTGATGTGAGTCTACCATCGAACTCACACTCACCGAATCCTAACACACAACTAAGAGCTCCAGAGATGTGGGCCAAGGTTGTTGGAAAAAAATCAAAAAAGAAAACTATAGTCACTAGTAACGACTCACATACTTACCTCCATAATGCCAACACTCCTACCCTGCCTGCTGGCCCAAGCACTACCACCATAACACAGAATACAAAGCCCAGTGTACCTATAAGAAAACCTAAAAATGTAGAAGTCTTATATATTACAGAAAGTAGAAACAGTAATACAAAAATAAACCAGGTATTATCAAAAGCCAAAGAAAACATAAACCTGCAGGAACTAGGTATTAAAACAATAAACCCTCGCGAATCCTTAAATGGAGGACTCATCCTTGAGTTTCCAAAATCCAAGGAAGGTGAAGTTGCACCAATTCTAATGGAGAGGATCAAATCACTATTTCCACCGGATGATATTGTAGTATCTTGTCCAAAAAAATACAAGGAGGTATTGATCACCAGAGTCGACATATCTGCTACGCATGAAGAAATTACAAAGGCTCTCCAAACTGCATGTGGCTCTAACAAACACTTCATTCTAGGCCCTGTTCGTCCAAACCTGAGAGGCTCGGCGACAGTGTGGTGTAAGTGTGAAGAATCTGAAGCATATAAATTATTATCCATTAAAACACTGGCGATTGGATGGTCCCAAGCTTACTTCCAACCTCTAGAAAATAGACCAGTCCAGTGCTTTAAATGCTGGTCCTACGGTCATGTTCGCAACTCCTGCACTTCAAAAATCAATAGAGACGGTTGGTGCTACAAATGTGGTGGTGAAGGGCACCCATCCAACATCTGTGTTAATAATAATCCCATATGCAAACTCTGTCAAGAGAATAACTTCAACTACAAGCATAAAATGGGTACAAACACATGCAGGACATTTATTAACTACAAGAATGATAAACTAGAACGTAACTCTTCTTTACTACCCCAAAGTAATCCAGCAGTCAATGAAACTACAGACATCAGAATGGAGGTAACTGAAAAGAAAAAATCTTAAATTACAACATGGCACAATCCTTCCAAAACCAAAATATGCACAGATCCAGGTATAATGATGTAAGCTGTCCACTCCTAATCCTGCAAGCTAATATCAATCATGCTGTTGCTGCTCAATCCCTACTGGAGAGTTACATTGTTAGTAATAATATTAGTATTGCTCTTGTATCGGAACCACACAACCCCTGTAAAAGTGGATGGTTTGGATACCGTGAAAATAAGGCTGCAATAGTTGTAAACAACTCATCATTCACAAATCCAAGCATCTTATACGAAGGTGACAACTATGTTGCGGCAAGTATACACTCTACAATATTCATCTCAGTATACTGCTCTCCAAATGAGAATAGAAATAATTTCGAAAAAAGGTTGAAGTCTATATCTAAAATTATTAAAAAGTTTTATCACCTGCCGATTATAATAGGTGGGGATTTCAACGCCTATAGTACGTTTTGGGGTTCTGCGAGAAACTGTGTAAGAGGAAAAATATTGAAAGACTGGGCTACTACAAATAATCGCTATTTATCATGGACATGGATATGGATATGGACATCATCTCATCGCCGCCCCCATCCCCCCCGGCCTGTGTAAGGATCTTCAACAGGATCCTCCCATTCATGGACCTGACTGTCATTTACGATTTATCACGTGAAGCGCGAACTTCGTACAAATCGCTAAATTCGTATACGCGATCGTTAATAGTGTAGTTAAT